TTTCTCCCTTTGTTTTGATATTTATTATTTTGAGAGCTGTGCTCCACAGCCAAATTAAATCTCAGTGCTTAAATGAAATTAACCGAGGCCCTGAGGGGAATATTATGAAGGCAGTGGGGACTCTGTAACATTCTTACATAATCCTTTTTGCTTCCTCTCTCTTTAGGCTCCTTATATTTTGGATCTTGAGAGATAATTTCCATTGTTTCTTGTTCTTTGGAGTGATTGCTCTCTGAGGCTTCTGCCATGTTGTCTTCGTTCTCTTGTTCTGAAGTCTGTTTTTCCTCCAATGTGCCGTTACTTTCTTCAACCGAAGAACTATCTTTTGGCTCTGAATACAACATCTCAGCAGAAAATGTTCCATTTAGGAGGTTGTCCACTTTGTTGAGGGGGAAATCATAAAGACCACTAAGGAAAGATTTGGGAAATCCAAAACATGCTGTTGCTGCCCGAACTGGTCCACCTCCAGAGTACAGCTGAATAATAGAGCCAAAACCTGAAGAGATAAAAGAAACAAACATCTCTCAACGAAGGTGACGCTAGACTATGCGCAAACACTCAGGGCCCTCCACAGTAAGAGGAATGAAGGTCTCTGTTCAGAGCCTGAAGGATGATGCAGCTCCTCTGCGGGTTCATTTGGAACCTTTGAATATTCCTAACAGGTGTAATATAATTCCAAAACAGAGAAACAGGAAGTCTTAAAGAAGCTTTCCCCCACTTGACACTACAGTAAAACCTGTCATCATGCAAATTTGGATGTCACATGATTGATGATTGACTCTCAGTTTCCCCTCTGTCCAGTCCTCAAACAAGGCAGTTAGAAGTTCCCATCTTGTGTGGGGTCAGAGAAAGGGCAGGCAAATCAGGTGTGTTGTATTCTTCCAGAACAGAATACGTCCTTAGTACTCTTCCTGCTCGAGCACTAGCTACCCAAGAGTTTACTAAAATCACTGTCCCAGGGGTCCTTGACAGCCACAGGCTTCAGAACCATCCCCACTGATACTGAAGCTGGAAATGACAACTGTCTTCCAGCGGTGCTAATACAATTCAGGCTGGAAGATGTGGACTGTGCAGGAAGATCCCAGGGACTAAACCTGTGGCCAACCCAAGTCATTTCATTAGCCTCACAGTAACTCAACCTCACTTTCCATGAGTTTGGACTTTTAGATCCCTCTACTTAAAGCATAGTGGGGTTTTCATGAACTTGAAAAGGTTAAATGTTACCTCCCATTCGTTCCATCATTGCACCCAGCACCAAGCCTGCACACGTTTCCATTACGATCATTTTATTGCCAGCACGAATATTTCCCAATGTCAACATCTGGGCTAGTGTATCATATCTCATGTGGCTAAGGAAAAAAGAATGATTCATTCACTTTTAGCTAAGCGAAGCCTGTTATTTTAATAATCATTTTTCAAGTTTTGTTTTATAAAAATTATGTTAATAAGATTATTGCTTTGGAGGCAATAAAAAGGACTTACAATTTATGAGATAGGAGGACACTTTATGCAGGTGAGCAAGTTTTCCATTTTACTTAAAATTATGACTTTCTTAAAGCTATATTTTCCCCCAATAATACTTTTGAAAGGAAACAAAGCGTACTTAATTTTTCCAGGTTCTCTGGCATAATACATAATTGAAAGGATGCGGGTGGATGGTTTCACAACAGTAATGACAGCTTCATATCTGGGGGAAGAAAAAACAGAACATAAATTTTAAAAACCAGCTTAAAAATATCTTGTTTTTAATAATATATTTAAAAATATACAAAAAGATTTAATGTTTCCATTCTCTTAAAACAAAAACTACTTACTTCTTTTTCTTCTTTTTTATATATTTATCTTGAGCAAATTCTGTCTTGTCTCGGAATGTTGTACTATTTTCAATCAACTGCTGAACTATTTCCTATAAGGAAAGGAGCAAGCAGATTTCCTGAAACTTTACTCGCAAAACAGATCATTTTAAAGATTTCTTACCCCAAAATGTATCCAAAGGAATGATTCTCCAGTCCCTTTTTCATAGACGTCCAAATGGATAAACTTTGTATTTTTTTTACTCTATCTAGAATTTGTATTAAAATATAAGTACCTTATAGCTTCAATTAAACCAGAGATATACAATTAAGAGAGAGGAGAGGTAAAGGGAACTGTCAATCTTGAAGACTCTGGCTGAAAACATTCCTGAAAATAAACATAGTTAAGCTCTTTTATGCCCTAAGTTATTAAAGTATCCTTTGATAACAATATTAGTAATGTCATTCACTTATATTCCTTCATTAAGAAATGAAATTTTTGATATATTGAATTGCACGTACATTTTAAACTATTTCTAACAAAAATATACGGTATTTTTCCAGTTACCTTAGGTAAAGTCTGCTTTAAAAACCAAGCAATTCCCTAAATACCAAACAAAAGCAAAACACAATATTCTTTGAATATTACCTCTCCTTTAATGCCCTTGTCCTTTAAAGCTTTTATGTCATCTTGAGTAAGTTTCTGAGATTTCCCATCATCAACTATATTTCGATTATCAGTGCCCGCTTCTTTGGTCTCTAAGGAAGAAAATTGCTTTATGACATTTATGATCTGATAATATTTTAGTTTCTTCTAAGTTCATACCCACATTCGGCTTATTGGCCACTCAAATTTGACCTTCCGGTCCACTGCCTCCACCCAGCCCACTATCTTTTCTTGCCACGACTACTCCAAGACTGTAACTCATCTTCCGCTCCCACTCTTGCCTCCTCATGATCCACCTGAACACCAGAGTTCTCTTTTTAAAATGCAAATTGGCTCATCTATTCCTATTCTTTTATGGCCTTTCTTTTTTTCTTTTTTATTTTATGAGCAGTGCTTGATTTATTAGCATTAAAAAACAGTTCTTACATAAAAAACAAGCTGATTTTTGTTTACATGTCAAATGCATTCCTTAAATATTAAATCAAATTTAAAGCATGAATTACATGAATTGTTTTTCCTGGAAGCACTTAAGTGAATGAATATTTGACAATGGAGATATTGAATGCACATCATGCAGGCACCAGACAGTCACAGAGTCCACATGGCCTGCTTGTCACAGTGCATAATCCAGCAGACACTGACTGTGGGTGCCCACACACGTCTGCATTCGGGTACAGAACTGAATTATTGTTAAAACCCAGGGCTGCATGATATATAGAAAATTCATTTGCATGTTAGAATACCAACTACATACAGCTAAGGAAACCTTGCTTTAGGTCCATCACAGCTAACTTGCAATGGTGAGTTATAAAACTTGGGGCAACCAACGAAAATTTGCAGGACAAATGCATGTAAATGCCATCACCATTCAATGCCTAGCCCCATGTGATACAGCTGTCTCTCCTGTCTCTAAAGTAGTCACAGGTAGCACTGCAGAGCAGAAGGCACAGGACGCCACCCTCTTCCCTATTCTGTGCTCAAGCGCCGAGAACACTAAGAGAGGATCAGGGCCCTGCATGTAACCAAGTCACAGCATAAGACACAGCCCTCCTCATCCTGCCACAGAAGGTAGGCCCTCAGAAAGTCATCAGAAGTGTCCACTTGGCTGTTCGAGCATACCCCTGACCAGGCTCCAGTCCCTGGAGGGTACTGGGCTCAGTCATTGGTGCTCGAAGTATCTGGGTAGCTCCAGCAGGTCTGGCCTCATTTCTTGATCCCTGTATTCAGCCGCATTGCTCTTCTTTCTGTTCCTTAAACACTCCAACCATAGTCCCACTGCAGGGCTTTGGCATCTGCTGCTCCTTCTGCCTGGAATATCTTATTACAGAGCTGAATGGCTGGATCCTTTCCATCATTCAGGGCTGAGCTCATCATTTTGGCCACCTCCCTGTTTTGTCATCTTCATAGTACACATCACCATCTGAAATTATGCTGTTTGCTTGTCTACTTGATTATTTTTGGTGTTCTCTACTGCTAAATAAATTTTATGAGATGCTCTATTACATGAACTGGTATAATCACAGTGCCTAATCATGCCTGGAACATATTTAGTGCTTAATAAAAATATGGTTGATAATTTAAAAGTGCATAATTAGTTTCTATCAGAACTTTAATCGTATTTTAATTAATTTTAATAATTATTTAGGTATTTTTATTTTATTAATAAAATATCTTAAGTACATTAATTTTAATATTTATTTAATTTTTATTAATAATAATGGCTAAAATTATGGGGTCTTTATTATAGGCAAGGCACTGTTAAGAACTTCCTATATGTCATATGACTGTACACTTGCTATAGCTTAGGCATGAAATGTGTTTATGGCCCCATTTTACAGATGAGGATATAAGACTTAGAGAAACCAAATATCTTGCCCAAGGTTACAAGACAAGTAATGAAGCTAAAAACTTAAACCTTAGTCAGCTGAATTCAAAGCCAGACCTCTTAGCCTCTACCCTTTATGCTAACTACCCTTAGGCTGTTACTTAATTTCTGGGCACTGCACCAGCTCTTACACTGAAGTGGCAAGGACTCATGGGATTAAATGCCTGGCCCAAGGCCAGAGAGCCAGTTAATGATGGGCTGGAGCCAGAATTCAGGCATCTCAAAGCCAACGGCAGATCTTGCTTCGTTCTACCAAGGTACAGTTCTTAGATTATAAATTTAGATTTCCTTAGGAATAATCTGGGCTATCACTTTAGAATTAAATGAAGTTGACAGATTTCTGACTATGCAGCTCAAGAGCATCTACCTCATACATCCAAAGTATTGTACCTGAAGTAGGCTCTTCCTTCTTCTTCTTAGGCTGAAGATTTCCTCCAGCAGTCACTTCAAATGTGGTTCCATAACTATGGCCAATGACATTATCCAGATAGAACCACTGTTTTTCAAAAGTTACTTTTCTGGGGAAGAAAATACAATCAATGAGCTGAATCTTATTTGTATTCAGTATAGGAAAGATATGTTCAATTTAATTTATTTCAAAACTGAGCTCCACAAAGGATGATCAGCAGCATTACCTCTGAACACAAACTGACAAATGAATTAGAGAGAATCTGGTTGGGGAAGAGACATAAATTAATAAAGAAATCACAAAAACATTGACTTTGGAATGAGAAACAAGAAGAGAAGCTATTCCTCTTTTGAGGCACTGGTCTGACTCCAATTTGTACTGTTTGACAGGATGTCCAAACTCAAGCTTCGCAGACTTTCTTAATAGCATAAAGAATCGCCAAGATTGCTAGGCCACTGGACACACACTGTGACACCCTTTGCAACTTACACAAGAAAACCGCAAAACTGAACAATCATTGAGATGACAGGGAAGAAATTCCCTGGCCTAACTGGCCATTTTCTTTGACAATTATCTAGTAAAAGCAAATTATATCTACAATTAAACATTACTGACAATCTACACATTTGGAAATGGTGCCTAACATCGGTGACGCTCTATGGAGGACCAGGCAATTTTAGCTTTTCCCATTAACCAGTTTTTTATTTTATTACAATTTAAAAGGGAAATCCCATAAAAACACAAATCTTTCCCTTCAAAAGAATAAAAGTAACATCCACTGATTGTCGACCAGCGGTTAGGTAGTATGTGCTAGATTTTTGTACTTTTTGATTTAATTCTCACAGTAAGCTAGTAATCTCTTTCCAGAAGAGCAATCCAAGGTTCAGAAAAGTGTCTTGTCCAAGACTCACAGTTACAAAGAAGGAGCTGGGATTCAAATTCAAGTCTGCCTGACCCCAAGGCCTGATTCTTTCCACTATACCACACAGGTTACCTAGCAAAGACCAGTGAATCTCAGGAAACCCTGCCTCGCTTCAAGATGCGGCCCATGTCAACAGAACTGCGAATCCTGCAAGACATACTGATTAATTTTCTTCGTGCCCCAATCCACACCTTCTCTTCCTTACTCTGTGCCCCTGGAGGCACAGACCACAACTTTCAGGATCCCTTGCTGAAGGCTTCCCAATGTTGTTAGACCCTGGGTGCATCACAAGTCTCTATTGGTTCTTTAAACCTTGCCACCCCTCTGTATGTGTATGTGTCATGTCTTCATTAAATCTCCTCACTTGAGCTATCTGAGTGATCCTAAGTTTCATTAGAAACTGGTGTCATTAGATAGGGCCAGTTCTCTTTACTGGGTGCTCAGTTACTAACACGTAACAGACAAAATATTTGCTGACATAAATGTTGGCAGAGAAGCTGAAACTCAACTCAGGCCAGATGTGCATTGCCCTGCCCCCCGCCCTCACCCTTTGAGCACCCAGTGCTAACGAAACACTGGCTCTGAGCTAGGTTGCGTTTATCCCTCCAGCAGCTGGTCTGATGTGTAAAGGAGGGTGTGTCATTCAAATTAATAGGTAGGACAAGAGGTCACTGCCCTGGTAGGAAAGTGGGACCAAGTCAGAGGGATGTGAAACCTTATCTCCACTGGGAAATTACAGCCTCCTTCTTGAGAGCCAGATTGCTTCTGCCCAAACACATGAGTGCAGCCCAAAGAGAAGAGTGAAGCGGGAGTCTGGCCTGGGATATAGCTGAGCTCAGAGTCATTTTCTAAATAAACAAAAATTAATTCTGTGCCTTCTGCCTAGAAAAGTGATAAAAAGCATTTCCAAACTATAAGAGCAGATTATTAAGTATACTCAAACAACCACATTTCAAAATTGGGCAACTTAAAAGAATAGTATGAGAAAGAAAAGAAAAAAAAAACCCAAAGTTTCACCTGTACAGTCATTATACAGTTGTATAACTTTTGGATCATTCATTGAACTTTTAACTTATCAATTACAGTGCACTGTTATACTCCAATTTAAAAGTTTAAATAATTATTATTGGCACTTTCCAAAACTTATGTACTTGGAAGCAGGCATACATTTCTAATCAGAAATTCTAAAAAGTAAAAAATCCTGGTTTCAAAAATACAAAATGCAGTAGTGACGACAGATAGTCATAAAATTTCTCTAATGTCAACCACCAAAATTAATATTTTATCAATGAGGAATTTTAAAATTCTTAAAAGCCTGTGCAGATATTACATTTCTAGTCTAAAAGAAATCCCTCCCCCCTTGTATATTTTTTTTAGCGATTGGTGCTTGTGCAAAGAAGCTCGGTTGTCAGCAGTTTGGTGCCTTGGGGACTATTACAACTATTTTGTAATGACACCTGTTTCACTTTAAATACCAGTCAACAGTTTGATTCATAAAGGGTAAAATAGTTCATCTGAAGTAAGCAATTATCAGAAATTCCAAGTCTTACAATAGCTAACCTTACGGTCTGCAGAAAGCTGTTCACCTGACACCATATTCAACTTACTTCTTCGTCAAAAGTAGTACAATAATCCAACTCAAAAGAAAGCTTAGTTGTACTTTTCAGATAACTAACCAAAACATCCCAATACATTTTCACTATTAATAAACAATTGGGACTTAACAACCATGCCACTCCTGCCAGAAAGCTATCAAAATTCCCACTTACTCTAACGCTAAATCAGAAAGAGAACTTATCAGCAGGTTCACAAACCAAACCTAATTTCAAGTTCAGAGACCCTGAGCAAACTGCTTTTGGGAAGTTCAACTTCTCCAAACCTCATATCCCCCTAATGTAAAATGAGGGAACCCTAGAGTGATGCTACATTCCACGGGATGTTTCCTAACATTATTCGGTGTAGACAGGTAGTCCCGTGTTTGAGTAAAGAGAAGCGCCCAGAAGACCAAACAAGGTCACAGAGGTTTCATTTTTGTGGGATTGATCCTGGTTGAGGGAGTAGGGAGAAGGAAGGGTCTATGGGAAAAGTGCGGGCGGGGGAATCCGGGCGGCAAGTATGAGATCGGAGGATGAAGAG